CACATACCAGCACTAACATCACCTAGCTCACATACCAGCACTAACATCACCTAGCACACATACCACACTAACATCACCTAGCTCACATACCAGCACTAACATCACATAGCACACATACCAGCACTAACATCACCTAGCCACACATACCAGCACTAACATCACCTAGCTCACATACCAGCACTAACATCACCTAGCTCACATACCAGCACTAACATCACCTAGCTCACATACCAGCACTAACATCACCTAGCTCACATACCAGCACTAACATCACCTAGCTCACATACCAGCACTAACATCACCTAGCACACATACCAGCACTAACATCACCTAGCTCACATACCAGCACTAACATCACCATAGCACACATACCAGCACTAACATCACCTAGCACACATACCAGCACTAACATCACCTAGCTCACATACCAGCACTAACATCACCTAGCTCACATACCAGCACTAACATCACCTAGCTCACATTACCAGCACTAACATCACCTAGCTCACATACCAGCACTAACATCACCTAGCCACATACCAGCACTAACATCACCTAGCTCACATACCAGCACTAACATCACCTAGCACACATACCAGCACTAACATCACATAGCACACATACCAGCATAACATCACCTAGCACACATACCAGCACTAACATCACTAGCTCACATACCAGCACTAACATCACCTAGTCACTTGCACACATACAGCACTAACATCACCTAGCACACATACCAGCACTAAACATCACTAGCACACATACCAGCACTAACATCCTAGCACACATACCAGCACTAACATCACCTAGCACACATACCAGCACTAACATCACCTAGCACATACAGCACTAACATCACCTAGCCACATACCAGCACTAACATCACATAGCACACATACCAGCACTAACATCACCTAGCACACATACCAGCACTAACATCACCTAGCTCACATACCAGCACTAACATCACCTAGTTCACCTAGCACACATACCAGCACTAACATCACCTAGCACACATACCAGCACTAACATCACCTAGCACACATACCAGCACTAACATCACCTAGCCACATACCACCAAACTCACCTAGCACACATACCAGCACTAACATCTAGTTACCTAGCACACATACCAGCACTAACATCACCTAGCACACATACCAGCACTAACATCACATAGCACACATACCAGCACTAACATCACCTAGCACACATACCAGCACTAACATCACATAGCACACATACCAGCACTAACATCACCTAGCACACATACCAGCACTAACATCACCTAGCTCACATACCAGCACTAACATCACCTAGCTCACATACCAGCACTAACATCACCTAGCTCACATACCAGCACTAACATCACCTAGCCACATACCAGCACTAACATCACCTAGCACACATACCAGCACTAACATCACCTAGCTCACATACCAGCACTAACATCACCTAGCACACATACCAGCACTAACATCACATAGCACACATACCAGCACTAACATCACCTAGCACACATACCAGCACTAACATCACTAGCCACATACCAGCACTAACATCACCTAGCACACATACCAGCACTAACATCACCTAGCTCACATACCAGCACTAACATCACCATAGCTCACATACCAGCACTAACATCACCTAGCTCACATACCAGCACTAACATCACCTAGCTCACATAACCAGCACTAACATCACCTAGCTCACATACCAGCACTAACATCACCTAGCTCACATACCAGCACTAACATCACCTAGCTCACATACCAGCACTAACATCACCTAGCTCACATACCAGCACTAACATCACCTAGCTCACAACCAGCACTAACATCACCTAGCTCACATACCAGCACTAAACATCACCTAGCTCACATACCAGCACTAACATCACCTAGCTCACATACCAGCACTAACATCACCTAGCTCACATACCAGCACTAACATCACCTAGCTCACATACCAGCACTAACATCACCTAGCACACATGCCAGCATCATCCAGCACACACTAGCTTCACCTAGCATACATGAGCATCACCTAGTACTTAGCAAGTACTCGTATCACCTAGTACTGAGTACGTAACAACATATCACTCAAGCGTCACATAACACAAGCATCACTTAGCACAGGAGCTATGACTCGACCCACGTAACCACAGTTAGGAGAGTACACTCGGGGCCAGGAGCTACTGAACCACAACTGCAACCACATATGAGTACACACACACACACACACACACACACACACACACACACACACACACACACACACACACACACACACACACACACACATACACACACACACACACACACACGCACACACACACAGGATACAGAGCTTCAAGACGAGGTATGAGCAGGGAGAGAGAGGTCCTAGTAGCATTCAGTGAAGAGCAGGGGCCAGGAGCTGAGTCTCGACCCCTGCAACCACAATTAGGTGAGTACAATTAGGTGAGTACACACACACACACACACGTTTGATTCAGTACCTATATTCCATAATATATTCTGTACTATATGCTATAACATATTCTATATGCAGTAATATATTCTATACTATATGCTATAATATATTCGCATTTTATACCACTTGACAATTTTTCACCTTTTTCCCCTCTTCTTTCCTTCAAAAAAAAAATCTTGATACATCATCTTCCAAGTATCATCAGGCATTATTATCTCTACTTATTTCTTGTAATTAACTTATAATCTACTTTTTTCTAATTCTCAGTTCTAATTATGGTCTTAAGCATTTTTTTCCATCTATGTTCATTTACACTCATAATTATTCTTGGTTGTAAATTTATGAGGAAGTATTTTAATGTTGTTAGTGTCAGTGATACGGTTATTGAGACATTGTAATTTTTATTAAATTGTTAAGTAATGACCCAAACACTGTCACTTAAAAGGTTATAAAATGTCGAGAAATACACAGATTTAAATGGCTTGCAAAAACATGCTAATATGTGGTTTTATAGTTAGCATGAACTCTGTCACTGTAGATAAGTGGATTCCACATCTATCTGGAAGTTGTGTCTTTAATATCACTTACCTGCAAGTACATCACAACAAAATTACTAGTAATCCCTTTATTAAGTCACTTTCAAAGGCAGTTTTTCAGGGAATTTCTCGCTTAGTTAGTAGTAATAATTTATCTCGGTTTATCTCAAGTTATTCCTTTAGGGGAGGTTCCTTGATACTGGTGAGGGACTCTTGATCTAGGGAATTGGATCTGTGCTCCAGTTCCCGGAATTAAGCCTGAATGCCTTCCATCCCCTTCCTCATCTATCCATAGACGCTGCATTATCCAACTGGCAGGGCTGCAGCTACTCTTGTAGTCACCTCCTTAGACAAGCAAGAGTCTACTGGCAGGGCTTCAGCTATTATAGTCACCTCCCTAGATAAGGAAGTCTACTGGCAGGGCTGCAGCTATTGTAGGCACCTCCCTAGATAAGCAAAAGTCTACTGGCAGGGCTGCAGCTACTCTTGTAGTCATCTCCCTAGATAAGCAAAAGTCTGCTGGCAGGGCTGCAGCTACTCTTGTAGTCACCTCCCTAGATAAGCAAAAGTCTACTGGCATGGCTGCAGCTACTCTTGTAGTCATCTCCCTAGATAAGCAAAAGTCTACTGGCAGGGCTGCAGCTACTCTTGTAGTCACCTCCCTAGATAAGCAAAAGTCTATGGCAGGGCTGCAGCTAACTCTTGTAGTCACCTCCCTAGATAAGCAAAAGTCTACTGGCAGGGCTGCAGCTACTCTTGTAGTCACCTCCCTAGATAAGCAAAAGTCTACTGGCAGGGCTGCAGCTACTCTTGTAGTCACCTCCCTAGATAAGCAAAAGTCTACTGGCAGGGTTGCAGCTACTCTTGTAGTCATCTCCCTAGATAAGCAAAAGTCTACTGGCAGGGCTGCAGCTACTCTTGTAGTCACCTCCCTAGATAAGCAAAAGTCTACTGGCAGGGCTGCAGCTACTCTTGTAGTCATCTCCCTAATAGCAAAAGTCACTGGCATGGGCAGCTACTCTTGTAGTACTCCCTAGTAAGCAAAAGTCTAACTGGCTGCACTACCTTGTAGTCACTCCAGATAAGCAAAAGTCTACTGCTAGGTGCAGCTACTCTTGTAGTCCCTCCAAGATAAGCAAAAGTCTATGCAGGTGCAGCTTACTCTTGTTAGTTCACCTCCCTCAGTAGCAAAAGTCTACTGGAGGTGCAGTACTCTTGTAGCACTCCCTAGATAAGACAACAGTCTACTGGCAGGCTGCAGCTACTCTGATGTATACCTCCCGGTAAGCAAAACATAGGGACCCTTAGACTCAGATAAAAGTCTTGAGGGCTGCATGTTACTCTTTAGTAACTCCCTACATAAGAACGATGGAACTTTGTGAGTTAGGTTAAGAATTAACTGGGCATCAACACTGCCACTGAACTGTAAGCCATCCTATGTCACAAAGGTAACTAATTACATTGAGCTTTACTGTGATTATTACTGATCAGTGACGGTCACTGATAACTCTTACACTCACATGATCACTGACAACATTCTCACTGGAGAGCGAGTATGATGAATTAATGTGTATCAAATATGGACCCTTTTAAAAAAATTCAGATATAGTGTGGTGGTCTGGTTATCATAGAATATTAGGAGATAAAAATGAAAGTGAATGTTGTAGAATAGGAAGTGGTAAAGAATCCTTCCTCTGTAAGCCATGTGTGTCGCAAGAGGCGACTAAAATGCCCGGAGCAAGGGGCTAGTAACCACTTCTCCTGTATAAAAATTGTACAAAACATATGAAAAGAAAAACTTTGGATTTTCTTTTAAGTTCACCCTCTCAGGATGGGAAAGGCCAGTACGTTTGAAAAAATATATATATGGTAATATAATCACAATAATCTGATCTGTATAATATTTCCCAGACAGTGATCAGTCAGAAATCGAAGCAGATGCTCTTTTGAAAAGGATTTGTACAACAAATTCAATGGATGAAAATGTGTGAGGACGATTTACGACGTTTCTGCTTCCCGCGTTCTCACTGGCAGTCGGGAAAAGCTCAGCTTTTTAACATTGAACAAAGCATCAACACTACAATTCATGGGCCCAGAAGCCGTACCTCAACGCTGCACATGTATCTGTGTGACAATAACAGGTGTGCGGTACTGAGACTTAGTGTACACCACTGGCGAAAGTGTCGGTCAGTCAATCCCTACTACCACTGCTGTAAGCGACCCATCAATTCCCCACCTTGTGCTACCGCTCCACAGCATGTCACGGGAGAAATTGATCAATTCAACCTACAGGTTTTATCAACACTAGTCTCAATCAGAGTCTTACAGCGAAAGCCATTTATGCCATCGACTGTGAAATGCTTTATACAAAAACAGGTATGGACGTAGCAGCCATATCAATAGTGGACTCAGAGTGCGAGTTGGTGTACGAGACACTGATTCTGCCAGAGTCACCCATCGTAGACTACAACACTGAACACTCAGGACTTACCATGCAGCAGTTTCGACATGTCTCGACACGACTCGCAGATGTGCATGCTAAGCTGCTCACATTATTTGGAAGTCGTACCATTTTAGTGGGTCATGGATTAGACCACGACCTTCTGAGGCTGAAAGTAATACACGATCACATTATAGATACAAGTGTGCTTTTCCCACATCCTAAGAGATTCCCTATCCGAAACTCTGTCTCCTACTTAGTCAGTAAATACGGGATGCAGTTTACATCTTGCTCTGGCCTCAAGTGTCAAAATGATGCAAAGGCAGCCATGTATCTCGTCCGAAATTGGCGATAAACTCAGAGTTAAAAATCAGTCATTTGTACATCTTAGTCCAAAAATTGGAAATTTAAAGATGCTTTTTCTGGGAAAAATTTGGCTCATTTAGTTTGTAATCATTAGGAAGGTTTTTATAAGATCTGTTGTACTGTAACTAGGCCTAAAAAAAATTTTATATTTTTTATTCATACAAAATATGTGCCCATAAAAACAGGAATTTCAGTTTATATAACGAACATTTCCAATGTTCACTCGATTCTTTTACCCAAAAAATTCATTTATTTTTATTCGAGGACATTATTTTCATTTCGTTACAATTTTTTTTTGCTAGAATTTATACCAGCCTTTTTTTGTAATTCACAGATGAAATTAATATTTTGTGTTGCATTGTGCGTTTGTTGATCCATAAAAAAATGAGTATTTTTTTGAGAATCAGTAATTTCATTTTTATTATATAATAAAAACAATACTTCTCACTTTATTTCCAAGATATTAAAATTATCAGAATATTCTAGTTTAAATTTTATTTCAAGAGGAACAAAAATATATTTTTGCAATTTTACTGAATAATAAAAAATCTGAAGAAATCTGAAAAAAATCGGAATTGTTACAATCAAATTGATTTGAAAGTGATTTTTTTTGTATGCATTTATTGTCACTAATAAAAGTAGTTTTTGTCAGATTTATTTTTTGTTTTGTTAACAAGAGAGTGTAATGTATAATACAATAACAAGAGAGTGTAATGTATAATACAATAACAAGAGAGTGTAATGTATAATACAATAACAAGAGAGTGTAATGTATAATACAATAACAAGAGTGTAATGTATAATACAATAACAAGAGAGTGTAATGTATAATACAATACTTCGAAGTTTAAAGGGAGAAAACAGTAGTTTTTATGAGATGGATGATGCTGAGTCTGTGAACTAAGGTTGATGCTAGAGAAGGTTCTTGATTAATCAACCCCCAGGCAATATTGATGCTAGAGAAGGGCTCTTGATTAATCAACCCCCAGGCAATATTGATGCTAGAGAGAGGTTCTTGATCTAAGAAATTAGAGTTGTCTTCCCCGAGTCAAATATTATCAATTTTCAAGGACCTGTATGACCCCTAAGGTTTAACACTACCCTTAAATTTAATATTATATCATTGTCTAAAAATCAACCAGGTTTGAAAATTGTCTAATCGCAATAATATCTACGAAACTACGATAATATTGTATTAATGTTGGTAGAATTACCGACGATATGTTAAGTAAACCAGGCGCTGTATAACCCTCTGGGTTTAGCGCATCCCCCTTGATTATAATAATAATAATAATATGTTAAGTAAAAGGTCACAACTGCAACAAATGGGGCATTTTATTGTGGCGTAAGTATCTTGCAACTTGCTGGGTGTTGCACCCTGACCTTCATCTTGCAACTTGCTGGGTGTTGCACCCTGACCTTCATCTTGCAACTTGCTGGGTGTTGCACCCTGACCTTCATCTTGCAACTTGCTGGGTGTTGCACCTGACCTTCATCTTGCAACTTGCTGGGTGTTGCACCCTGACCTTCATCTTGCAACTTGCTGGGTGTTGCACCCTGACCTTCATCTTGCAACTTGCTGGGTGTTGCACCCTGACCTTCATCTTGCAACTTGCTGGGTGTTGCACCCTGACCTTCATCTTGCAACTTGCTGGGTGTTGCACCCTGACCTTCATCTTGCAACTTGCTGGGTGTTGCACCCTGACCTTCATCTTGCAACTTGCTGGGTGTTGCACCCTGACCTTCATCTTGCAACTTGCTGGGTGTTGCACCCTGACCTTCATCTTGCAACTTGCTGGGTGTTGCACCCTGACCTTCATCTTGCAACTTGCTGGGTGTTGCACCCTGACCTTCATCTTGCAACTTGCTGGTGTTGCACCGACTTATCTTGACTTGCTGGTGTGACCCTGCCTCATCTTGCAACTTCTGGGTATTGCACCTGAGCACTTCATGCTTCCTGGCAACTTCTCTCCTGGCATCTTGGCTCTTCCTGACACTTCATCTCTGCACCTGGCACTTCTGGCTTTTACCTGGCACCTTCTCTCTCTAGGCACTTCTCTCCTGGCACTTCTCTTCCTGCACTTCTCTTCTGGCACTTCTCTTCCTGACACTTCTCTTCCTGGCTATCTTTCTGGGTTTCTCCTGGCACTTCTCTTCCTGACACTTCTCTTCCTGGCACTTCTCTTCCTGACACTTCTCTTCCTGGCACTTCTCTTCCTGGCACTTCTCTTCCTGGCACTTCTCTTCCTGGCACTTCTCTTCCTGACACTTCTCTTCCTGGCACTTCTCTTCCTGGCACTTCTCTTCCTGACACTTCTCTTCCTGGCACTTCTCTTCCTGGCACTTCTCTTCCTGGCACTTCTCTTCCTGGCACTTCTCTTCCTGGCACTTCTCTTCCTGGCACTTCTCTTCCTGGCACTTCTCTTCCTGGCACTTCTCTTCCTGGCACTGTTCTCTCACTAAGATTTTTCACACTGTGGCACTGATCACTGGCACTTCACCATCAGTATCTTCAATTCCTGGAAATACAAACACGTAAGCAGTATAATGTAATGCTTTATTGGCAACGTTTCGCCCACACAGTGAACTTTATCAAGTCACAAACAGATCTGATCATGTGTTAATTTTTCCTTCAGTATTTTAAACCATTTATTTCATTAAACAACAAAAAAAGTCACAATACCGTGACTGGAACAATACACATTGTCCCGCACATACAAGAGAGGAACTTAGGACGACGTTTCGGTCCAACTTGGGCCATTTACAAAGTCACACATTTATTGCCTCCTTCAGCTCCAACTTCTAAACAAGTTGATCAACAGTAAACTAAAATTAACCATTTTTTTAATTTTTTTCAATATTAAAAACATTTTGCTACTTTAAAGGTTAACTAAAAATTTTTATACGTTGAAAATGGATACATTGTTCTTTTGGGTTACTGTTAAGAAACTTTTGGATACTGTTAAAATAATTTTGGTTTAGAATTGAACCTTTTGGATATATGTTTAAATACTTTTATTCTTTCAGTTCCCTATAACTTAAATAATTTTGGATTTTTAAATAATTCTTTAAAAATTCCTTTTATTTTTTTTTTTATTTTTAAAAAACTTTTTCTTTTTTTATTTTTTAAAAAATTCTTTGGATATACTGTTAAGATATACTTTTGGATATACTGTTAAGACATACTTTAGGATATACTGTTAAGATATACTTTTGGATATACTGTTAAGATATACTTTTGGATATACTGTTAAGATATACTTTAGGATATACTGTTAAGATATACTTTTGGATATACTGTTAAGATATACTTTAGGATATACTGTTAAGATATACTTTTGGATATACTGTTAAGATATACTTTAGGATATACTGTTAAGATATACTTTTGGATATACTGTTAAGAATATACTTTTGGATATACTGTTAAGATATACTTTAGGATATACTGTTAAGATATACTTTTGGATATACTGTTAAGATATACTTTAGGATATACTGTTAAGATATACTTTTGGATATACTATTAAGATATTCTTTTGGATATACTGCTAAGATATACTTTTGGATATACTGTTAAGATATACTTTTGGATATACTGTTAAGATATACTTTAGGATATACTGTTAAGATATACTTTTGGATATACTGTTAAGATATACTTTTGGATATACTGTTAAGATATACTTTTGGATATACTGTTAAGATATCTTTTGGATATACTGTTAGATATACTTTGGATATACTGTTAAGATATACTTTTGGATATACTGTTAAAATATACTTAGGATATACTGTTAAGATATACTTTTGGATATACTGTTTAAGATATACTTTGGATATACTGTTAAGATATACTTTTGGATATACTATTTAAGATATTCTTTTATGCGATATACTGTTAAGAATACTTTTGGATATACTGTTAAGATATACTTTAGGATATACTGTTAAGATATACTTTTGGATATACTGTTAAGATATACTTTAGGATATACTGTTAAGATATACTTTTGGATATACTGTTAAGATATACTTTTGGATATACTGTTAAGATATACTGTTAAGATATACTTTTGGATATACTGTTAAGATATACTTTAGGATATACTGTTAAGATATACTTTTGGATATACTGTTAAGATATACTTTTTGGATATACTGTTAAGATATACTTTTGGATATACTGTTAAGATATACTTTTGGATATACTGTTAAGATATACTTTTGGATATACAGTTAAGATATACTTTTTGGATATACTGTTAAGATATACTTTTGGATATACCTGTTAAGATATACTTTTGGATATACTGTTAAGATATACTTTTTGGATATACTGTTAAGATATACTTTTGGATATACTGTTAAGATATACTTTTGGATATACTGTTAAGATATACTTTTGGATATACTGTTAAGATATACTTTTGGATATACTGTTAAGATATACTTTTGGATATACTGTTAAGATATACTTTTGGATATACTGTTAAGATATACTTTTGGATATACTGTTAAGATATCTTTTGGATATACTGTTAGATATACTTTTGGATATACTGTTAAGACATACTTTTGGATATACTGTTAAATATACTTTTGGATATACTGTTAAGATATTCTTAGGATATACTGTTAGTATCTTTTGGATATACTGTTAAGATATACTTTTGGATATACTGTTAATATATACTTTTTGGATATACTGTTAAGATATACTTTTGGATATACTGTTTAAGATATACTTTTGGATATACTGTTAAGATATACTTTTGGATATACTGTTAAGCATATACTTTTGGATATACTGTTAAGATATACTTTTGGATATACTGTTAAGATATACTTTTGGATATACTGTTTAAGATATACTTTTGGATATACTGTTAAGATATACTTTTGGATATACTGTTAAGATATACTTTTTGGATATACTGTTAAGATATACTTTTGGATATACTGTTAAGTATACTTTTGGATATACTGTTTAAGATATACTTTTTGGATATCTGTTAAGATATACTTTTGGATATACTGTTAAGATATACTTTTGGATATACTGTTAATATATACTTTTGGATATCTGTTAAGATATACTTTTTGGATAACTGTTAAGAACTGATACTTTTTTTTGGAATACTTTAACATTAATATCTTTTGGATATTCTGTTAAGATATACTTTTGGATATACTGTTAAGATATACTTTTGGATATACTGTTAAATATACTTTTGGATATACTGTTAGATATACTTTTGGATATACTGTTAAGATATACTTTTTCTGGATACTTTGTTAAGATATACTTTTTGGAATACTGTTAAGATATACTTTTTGGATATACTGTTAAGTAAACTTTGGATATACTGTTAAGATATACTTTTTGGATATACTGTTAAGATAACTTTTGGATATACTGTTAAGATATACTTTTGGATATACTGTTAAGATATACTTTTGGATATACTGTTAAGATTACTTTTGGATATACTTTGTTTAAGATATACTTTGGATATACTGTATAAAGATATACTTTTGGATATACTGTT